TGCACAGTCCATGATTCCTGAGGCTTAGAACCACCCATACAAAACCGCAGGGGAAAATTATTACTACAGTGTTATGGTACTGCACGATGGTATTACTGTGCAGTTAGTATTACATGCAACCATCATATCATCATTTGCCTGATGCTTCTTTTTAGACTTGATTTTCAGTCACTTTTTGCTTTGCCAAACTTTATTTCAGCTAATCAGCAAGTAAATTAATCTATGCAAAGTGCCTGGTTTAGGAGATTTCATCTAAGACACTTCTTAGAAGTGTGATACTAGTGAAACAAAACATCATAATTCCCATCCCCAAACCTTTTTGTTTCTTACCCTCAGGTGGCACTACCCTTTTTGTGGGCACAGCTATAAATTTTGGCTGGGGCTCTTGCAGACATGACTATCATTCTTTAAAAATTCTCCCAGTCTAGCCTTGAGTCATATATCTGCATTATTTTTTACTTCAAGATTCCCTTTTCCATTCTTTACAGAAGATGCCTATGGCAATCTTTACTGGTAGCTATTCAAAACTGATATTTTATTCCTTACGTTAACATACATTTGCCTTTACAAACATTAGGTAAATGTTTGTGACCTAGGCTGTCTTACTTCAGGTTTGTATCCCATAAGAGACCTATCCCTTTAAAAATTAGTTGCTGCAATACTGTTTTACATCTCTCTGCACAGATACCAAGACAAGGAGAAGTAGATCAGTTTCAGGGACAGAGAGACTGGGAAATCCTCATGAAAAGGGGCAAGTCTGTCCTACAGGACACTGGGAAGGCAGCAGAGGTTTACTTTGCACTGTGATATTGATACCTCTTTCAAAGCACATCATTTTCCTTCAAAGCATGGCTAGAAACCAGGCTAGAAACTCAGGGCTTTCCAAAAAGTGCTATAACCACTGAAATAGAGTTGAAACTTTAGCAGAGCATCCTCAGCCTTTCCAGTTAAATTTCCTTCTGTACAGGAGAGATTTAGGAAGCCAAAAGAGCAAGTAACATAGAGCCTAATTCCCCAAACCTCAAATAAGGCACTGATCTAAAAGATCTGGAAAAGTTTCCTGGATTTGGGATTATGTGGGATACAGCTAGTAAAAAATGCATAGAGAGTAAGATGCATATTCAGTCTGGGGAATAGACATTAGCACTGAGGACATCTCTTTCTCATTGTAAATTGCATCAATTTTGTGTGTGTGGATCTTTTTTCCTAAACAACTGATAATAATTATTTTTTAAAGAAGAAATTCAGTTTTATATAACATGAAAATTGTGAACATACTCAAAGAGCCTCACGAACAAATATTGATTCTCAAACCTTGGAAATATGAAAAGAACAGAAACCCCAAATCAGTAAAGGGGAAATTTCAGTTAGATATATGGAAGAATAAACTGTGAGGGTGGTGAGGCACTGGAACAGATTGCCCCAGGAAGTTGTGGATGTCCCATTCCTGGAAGTGTTCAAGACTAGGTTGGATGGGGCATTGAGCAGCCTGCTCTAAAGGTGACACACTAAAGGTGTCCCTGCCCATGGCAGGGGTGCTGGAACGAGATGATCTTTAAGGTCCCTTCCAACCCAAACACTTTTGCTATCTATTCTACAATTCTACAATGGGATATAATCTCACCTAAACCTGACAGGACATGAGCATTCAGTTACACCTGTCAGTAAAAGCACAACTCAAAAGCTCCTCCACTTATCTGCTGTGACTTTTTATGTGAGTAAGTAAACTGTGGGAAAGCCCATGTTCAGAGAGAGTCCACATCCTCATCTGCCTCAAAACTGTTGTTTCTGGTCTTCCTTTCCCTTTTCCTGAGAAGGTGCTATTGTCCACTGCATTTCACCCATCATTTTTATCTCCCTTTCAAACTAAGCTCACTGTGCACACTGGTTCCCAGAGCTCTTTGGAGATCCTCTTCATTTCCCAGATCTCACCCTACTGCTCGCACTCAACTGAAAGAGGCTGCAGCCACCTCTAGTGACCTCTCCCCACCGAAACTCAAAAGTGATACACTCTCTTTCTTCCTTCAAAACAGAAGTAATAGTCTCTGCATACTGATTCCTTCTAATGGCAAGAGGGAAATACACCTTGCAGATCAGTATTGATGTACTCCTATATTCACCACAAAACTGATCTCAAGAGTCTTCTTTGCTAAAAAGAAAGCTATTAAAAAATTTAGTCACTTGGAAAGGGAGCCCTATGTCATTCCAAGCTTAAAATAAAGAAAAAGAAAAACAAGTTTGACTCTTCCTCGCCTTCAGCAGTATAATGAAACACTCAAAACAGCACTGTTCTGTCATATCACAGTGAGAACTAACACAAGAATTTATCCTAGTGTCCCAGTCTTCCCACAGGACTCAAATAGAGGTCTTAAATGGGAGAAAAGAAAACCACAACATGCATCTCTCTCACAGCTGACAACATTCTTCTGTGCAGCAGGGACCTAAATTAAATTCACAACACTGACTGTGATTCTTCCCTCTTGCAGGACGTGGACCTCTCCATGCTGTAGACTCCTGCTAATGTCAGACCCCTGTAATCATTATCAAGACTGAGTCATGTAGGTTTGTTCCATTTCAAGCTGAAACTAATTTCTTCCTTTAAAAGGGAAATTAATGCTATTTTATCAACAGCAAAGTGCCTTGGGCACGCACTGATGATGTGAAATGCACAAGCTGCACATCGACCCAAACCAGAAAGGATTCAAACCCACACATCCTATCCCTGAGGGGTGTGATCCCCTTCTCAGGCTTTAGGGAGAAGAATAGTCTTATCCACCTACTGAAGGGCTGCCCCTCTGCAAAGAGGAACCTGGGACTCACTAGAACAAGGAACTGCTATTCTGCAGCTTAACTGGGGGACTCACCTGATGGATGCCACTCACGCTCTAAGGACCAGGACAGAGGATAAACGATAACTTCATTAACAGCGTTTCTGTGAGCATTAAGTGTGAGGGAAATACCCAGCTGTTATCCCTTGCTGATGCAGAGTATCTCTGCATCAGCAAGGGATAACAGCGATACTGTTCAGCATGTGAACATACAAAACTTCTGGCACATATGAGAGATGTGGCTTTCTTTCCAGTAAAGAAGAAATAGTAGTACATTCATTGGGTTGATATGGGAAGACACTTTTAAAGACTCCAAAGTTTTCAGCTGTTATGATAGTGCGTATCATCAGTGTTTCAAATTAGCACTTCAGGGACACAGGGAGACTAGCAGCAAAGGCTACTAGTTTCAAAAAAATAGTTTAAATTGGTTTCCATCCCTGTAAATGCATGAGGCCCCCTGCTAACATTTGTCATGGCAGTAGTGCATTTTCATAATTAAAAAAGTATATTATTTTCTCCCCTGTTTAGCTCTTTGATAGGCCTGGAAAAGCTATTGATCTGGAAATTTCATCAGCCTTCCAGCCATCCAATCGGCAAATAAACCTCTTGTGACATGTTGAAATGTTTAAATGTTTTCTCAGTCCGCCTCCTGAAAAGAAATTGCAGGAGGGCCAAACCATAACTTACATTAATCTTGCAAAATTTGTACCTATGGTATTTTTTGGTTGGTTGGTTTTTAAAAACTCCTAGGTGCTGAAGAAATGATTACGTGATAATGCCTGTTTTTTTCTTCAAATAATTTTGCAGGATCCATGCTCATGAAACTAAATCTGGACATACAACTCACATTTATTCTCTCGAAGGTTCAAAACCCAAAAAAGAAAGAATTAAACTTCTGACTTTCCTCATCTAGTCTTGTTATTTTAGGACACTCTTTGCTGGCTATTGCTTTGTGCCAGGTACTATCCAACATACAGAACAACACAGAGCACCTATGATATTAAAAGTATCCTTTCCCCACACTATATGCGAAGAAGAAAAAAAGCAAGAACCGTGAGGATTATCTTCACTGTACAGAGGAATAATGGATGCCAAAAGACTCAGTGACTTACAGTAATAGCCAGTAAGTGCATTGTTGACTGGGACTCAACACTGTTCCATGCCTAAGCTTACCATCTTCTTAGAAATTATTTAAGTGATATTACATATTACCAAAATTAGATAGATATTAGAATTTATTACCATGGCCACAAAAATGGACTTTAGCATTACTCAAGATCAGGAAAATCCAAAAAATCCCAAACAAATCCTTGATTAAATGACCATCAGCATATTCCTGATGAACTCCCTTAAGAAAGCTGGGTGTTTTTTCATTCAAGCCCTGTGTGTAAAGTCTTGAATGATTGAGATAGTAGCGACATTTTACTGAAATCCAGCTTACTTATCTCCCGAACAGTACTAACTTGACTAACCATAAGGCTTATTTTGCCTTGTTTTTTTTGTTTTGGTTTATTTTTTGCTAAGAAATGTGCACATATTCCTAAGAAAATTTGGTATAAGCATCAAGAAAGCAAATGTACACACATTCGTAACATTATATAGCAATACCTTACTACCACATATCTAATCTATGATTCCTACTGTAAGTAGGCAAGATTGTACATAGTTATACATATTTACAGTATAAAGTACTTCTAAACGATTTATTTAAAAGGATTTATTTTAAGGATTTATTTAAAATTTATTTAAAATCTGCGGGACACAAATACCAGATTACTGTAGAGTGAAACAAAAATTCAGCAAAACTTGCTCAAAACACTCCACACCCTTGTTTATGTTAAAGAGAACAGATCCCATGGCAGCTGAAAATAAGCATGTCATCAACCCATCTAATTCTTGCCCGTTTAAATTCTGGTAGAAGAGGTTACTAAGAAATACATACACCTAATGTACAAGTTCTTCTCCGTGATGAACACATTTTATAGCAACAGCTTTTACACATCAAAACCTACAAGGAACTTGAAATCATACACCTGAGGACCAGAAATGCAGTAAGAAGAGTCACGAAGGCAACCAGTGATGCCACCAGCTACCTTTTGGTCTGCAGTCCCTGACCGCAAGGATTTAAAAAAAAAAAAAAATCAACAAAGAACTCCAGCAACTCTCACTCACCCAGCAGAGAGCCCACAAAGATGACAACCTGCACGGTGGTGGTGAAGTGCCGGTAGCTCTGCTCCTCGCCGTGCTCCTCGCCCTCCACGGCGCCCGCCTCGCTGACATTCCCGCCCTGCCACACCATCCGCCCGGCCGAGGCGTTCCCCGTCTCCAGAGCTCCGGTGACAGCCTGGGACGGGGCATGGTCGCTTTCATTCACCAACACCCAGCTTCTGTCGTACCCCATGGCGAAGTTCGCCTTCCTTGCTGCCACCTAATAATACAGGTTGTGCAGCCCTTGTCTTTAGTGAATGAATGGAGCCCGCAGGCAAAAGGATGCTTCTGAGGATAAAGCCCGGTCTCTGCCTCTCGGAGGCATCTTCACCACATGCCTGTGTCCCGAGAAACAGGGCTGGCTGTTCGCGTTTTCACCTTGTAAGTCATGACAGCCAGTAAACAAAAGCAGAAAACAAGCCAGGCTTCTCCTTCCGATCAGCTGTGCCATAGTTTTTGCTTCACACCGCCACAGGTCTCCTCAGCATGTTTTACCGCAATATGCGAGAGAAGGAATCACGGTCCCCAGAATCACACCCCGCACCGCGGCTCATCCTCCCTGCGTGCCGAGGGTCGCGGCGCGGCCGCCGCGCACACGCTCGCAGGGCCGCGGGCTCGCTGCACAGCAAAGCCGGCCTGCAGAACTGGGGGGGCCACCAGCTCTGTCCCCTCACTGCACTCTCAGCGTTGGCTCTGGCTTTGCTCACAGCCCTGAGAGAGGAAGAGCATGGCTTTCCCCGTGGCACATCTGCTCCCGCTCTCTCCTCTGCTCCTGCCCGCTCCGCCCGTGGCGAGACACGGCTCCCTCCCCTCTCTCTGCGGGCTCTGCGCGGCGCTGGACGCCGCGAAAACCCTTGCACACAGCGCCCAGAGAGGCCAGTGACTGCTCAGTGGCTGCCCCGGCGCTCCGCTGTTTCTCGGGGGAAATGAGCTGGGGTTTGAATCGCAAGGCGGGGGCGCTTGAGCGTCCAGCGAACCGAGGCGGCTCCGTGCGATCGCTGCGCGCCCCGCACTGAGCGCGGCTGGCAGCGACACCCCTGCTCCTTCGTGCTCCCACATCCCGACGCGGGCGCCGAGCCGCTGCGGGCCCGCGCTGCCAAACGCGGCGGCCATCCCGAGCCGGGCCGAAGCAGGAGCCGCTCCCGAGGCGGGCGCGCCGCCATCACACAGCCGCGGCCGCGGCGCTCGGCGGCGCCGCCATTTCGCTCGGGGGCTGTGGGAGCGGGCGGGCGCGTTTTAAACCGGGTTTTGAAACAGGTCCCTAATTCTGGTTATAGACTTCCAAAAGACGGTGCTGGGTTCTAGATACGTATGTTACTTGTTAAAATAGATATTTTACTAAATGTGTAATTTTCCAGAAAAGCAATTCGGTGGATGTAATGAGTTCGGGCATTGGTTCTACGGATGGTGTGCATCCATACAGTGGGTACACGTTTGCCTTTAATTTGGAGACGTTGGCGGGGCGGGGGGGTTAGTGCTAGGTAAAAATTAAGCCAAAAAGTTTTTTTCAACCACTGTCTACCAGTCTGGAAGTGCCCCGGGAAGAGGAGATATCCATGTGCTGAGCCCCTGCACAGCAAGGCTTCCTCAGGGACCCCAGGCCCATGAGATGTGTTCCAGTGACGTTCCCCCAGTCTCCTGCGATGTGAACTTTGGTGATCCAGGACAGAGCTCGGTGCTGTGCCGTGGGTTCAAAGGCATTTGCTGACCACAGGAATAGGGGACTGCCATTGTCCTATCCCACCACAGATCTTGGAGGATGTGCAAGCCTCTGCTTGTACCTCCATGTGTTTGGGCCCAGCCATTTGCAGCCTCCTCTCATTCCTCTGGCAGTTCATTGCTCCAGCCACTTTTCTAGTAATTCACATCTCTGACTCACTCTGATTGTGGCCTCAGACTCACTCGCCCTCCTACCTTTTCCTCTCACCCATAACTCATTCACTTTGTCCACACAGTCCCATTTTCCCCCACTTTCCAGGCAATAATCAGCAGCTTTCTCCATGTTTTCCCCTTACCTTTCCTTTCCTGAACAGGCTTCTTCCTCCTTTTGGCCTCCAGCATTCTTGTGGCCAGTGTCTGTAACCAGAGTCTGACCTCAGTCCCTTCACCTCCCAGTCACCTGCAAGGTGCTTTTCCTCACACAGCCGTCCCTTTCTTCAGTTCCTCCATCCGTATGGAATGATGACCAAGGAGCCAGGCAAGAGTTAATGCTTACTATCTACAGCCTGCACTGTGTACCCTCTGCATTGTCTTTGCACAGATCTGCATAGTCAAGAAAGATTGAGTTGGCTAAAGAAAGGTCCTGTGTGCATAGGATGGTCCAGGTTTGACTTAGGAATGGAACAGAACAGAAGTAAGTTGTATGACTGGAGCATTGAAGGACAACGTGGCCAAAAAAGAAATCTTTGCCTGATTAAAAGTAATTTAAATAGCAAAATACTCACACCTGCATATGCTAATAAGCTTAAGGAAGTACATGCTACCACAGAAATGACTGTATTACTCAACTTAACTCAGCGCTCTGCTTAGACCATGCTATAGATAACGTAGCAGGAGGGGGATCAGACTGTGCTGTATGTAAGGAGGGCAGGTCTGTTAGGAGAAACACCCTTAAAGACCTCAGAGACAGCTCTCAGACTACTCTCCTCTAGCTCCATCCAAGTGGAAATGCTGTCTTGGTAAGCGTGTACCTGCTATTATTACTACCCAAGTTAATACCATGTTATCATTAGAGCTCTATCATAGCTTGTGCATTTATTCAGACTTTGTATTTCTGTTGCTTCAATAAATCACATTATTTGTGAATCTGTGCTCATGGAAGTTTCCATTGAACATGACCAGACGTGTGATGCCAATTTGGTCATAATCAGAATAAGCCCAGCTGCACACAGCCCCTCTGATCTCTGGAGACTAGCTGGAATGCAAGAGGTTTTATTTTCTGCCAAATTTCTTACTCTTAACACTTAGAACCTTTTCCCTCCCTCTTGCACTTCACAGGAAGACAGACTTCCTACTCACCATGCACATGGGGAAGTGAAAGCACATTCTCAACAAATCGTTTACATTTTATTTGCTAGAATTAAATTTTAATGTTGTGGGAGAGAGTTTTAAATTTTGCCTTAAAATCTTGGAAGGGAAGCTTTTGTCCACATGTAGTCTGGCACATGTCTGAGGCAGGTGGATGTTCATTGTATTCCAGTAAATCTGTGCTAAGCATGTGAAGACTCCCTGCAGTAATGTAATTTGGTTTAGTTCATGCAGGTTTTCAGAAGGTTAGGTAGCAAAGCCACAGCACTGAAAAAAGGTTGTCTCTTCCTCATCAAATTTTCACACTCCTGCTGGAGTACAAGACTTTTAAAAACAAATTCTTAGAATGTTTTTATGATTATGTTATTTTACTCTGGCTTTCTTCTTAGAAACAATGAATCATTATAGAAGTAATTAAGGGGAAAAAATAGCTTGAGGTAGACATCTGGTCTAGACTACTTCATCTTAACTGGTTAAAATTTTGCCAAGTCACAAAGTAGGGGAAAGTAGGGCAGCTTTAGAAGGCATACTGTTATCTGGCCCACCCACTGCTATACAGTGTAACAGGGGAGAAATTTCCCATGTGGTGGGCTGTGTGTCCCACACCACATGCCTGGGAAGTACAAACCCATAATTGCTGGTAAAGGAAATTTTGCTGACATTTCTTAATTACTTACTGCATCACCGAGGCATTCTTGCTGTGTATTTGTGTGGGAGAGAAGATGAAACTGTGGCCTAGACACTTTATTTCCAGTCTTTAACACAGGGAAAGTTTTTATTTATTATATACAAATTGATAATGAGCATACCCAACTGTACCAGAGGAAACTCCAGGGATCAGTTAGTGCCCCAGGTCACAGATGATTGAGTAAAAGGATGTCTCTGTTGTTGCTAGATAAACACTAAACAGCTTTGGTCTGTTTCCAGACCATTTCCCACCAAAAAGCAGATGAGATAGAAATACCCTGCCACTAAAGACACATTCTAGGAATGGTGAGGAACAAAGACCAGCGTCACAACAGTGATACAATTTAACACTGGGTTTTAGTTTGATACTAACGACCTTATTTAAGTGCAACTGAAAGATAAAGTATGCGTGGAACAAGCTTTCAATTTCAGAAGTACAAATTGAGGGCTATAGAAACCGATCATTCGTGTAAATGACTGGTCTCTTTATAACAAAAAGTCTGTGCTCAAAGGTCAGGGAGTAAAGTCAAAGTCACCAAAATTCCCTTCCTATATCTGGGTGCGTGGTAGCAAGCTGCCGACTACTGTAACATTTTTCTTTGCCTGGGGATTACTCACCTGATAGATAAGCTTGTATGTATGAATTTGCTTGGGGTTTCTTGATGAAGATCCCCAAACTTTAAAGGCTCCCTCTTGTGGCAGTCCTTTTCAGTAGCTACCGCGTGAAGGGACCGAAGGAAAGCTCATTTTCTTCTCTGTTGTCACTGCTCCCCTGACAACCCCCGGCTGCCTCTCTCTGGCAGGTCCCACCAAGGACACCCAGCCTCAAACAAAATTTTCTGTTTTCAGTTCAACCAAGGACTGTTCGCCCTCCCCCTGCTATTACTCACTACAGCAATGGTCAGTGGGAACCTTTCTACAGTTTTCACAGGGACTGTATCCTGCCCCAGCTCTACGTGAAATCTGTACTGAAAATCGTGGTTATTTTTTCCCTTTTGTGACTCTTTCTCAAGGTCAGTTTAAAAAAAGATCTACACAGTATCCAACTGTCTTTGCTGTGTACCTCTGTAATGCCGATATACTTGGAGGCATGTCTTGAGGGACTTCAGACTGGACATTAGAAAAGGTTCTTCACCCAGAGCGTGGTTGGTCACAGGAACAGGTTCCCAGGGAAGTGGCCATGGCACCAAGTGTCCCAGAGTCTGGACAGTGCTCTTAGTCACACTGTTTAGTTTAGGGAGTCCCGTGAGGAGCAGAGCGTTGCACTCGGCAATCTTCATGGGTCCATTCCAACTCGACACGTTCCTGCGGACGAACCACCGGGCCCCACACGGCCCCGGCCCCGGCTCCTCCTCCTGCCGCCGCGGCGGAGGCGGTGCCGGGCGCGCTCCGGCTCCAGTCCCGGGCGGCAGCGCGGGGCCCGCCATGGCCGCTGCGCGCCGCCGCCGGCGCCGCTGACATGGCCCGGGCCAGCGGCGG